TTTATTTCTTTCATCACATTCCCAGTGGGTCAGAAGTTTACATACACTCAATTAGTATTTGGTAGCATTGCCTTTACATTTTTTAACTTGGGTCAAACGTTCCGGGAGCCTTCCACAAGCTTCCCACAATAATTTCGATGCATTTTGGCCTATACCTCCTGACAGAGCTGGTGTAACTGAGTCAGGTTTGTAGGCCTCCTTGCTCGCACACGCTTTTTCAGTTCTGCCCACAAATTTTCTTTAGTATTGAGGTCAGGGCTTTGTGATGGCCACTCCAATACCTTGACTTTGTTGTCCTTAAGCCATTTTGCCACAACTTTGAAAGTATGCTTGGGGTCATTGTCCATTTGGAAGACCCATTTGCGACCAGGCTTTAACTTCCTGACTGATGTCTTGAGAGGTTACTTCAATATAGTGTATCCACATAATGTTCCTTCCTCATGATGCCATCTATTTTGGGAAATGCACCAGTCCCTCCTGCAGCAAAGCACCCCCACAGCATGATGCTGCCACCCCAGTGCTTCACGGTTGGGATGGTGTTCTTCGGCTTGCAGGCAACCCCCTTTTTCCTCCAAACATAACGATGGTCGTTATGGCCAAACAGTTAAATTTTTGTTTCATCAGACCAGAGGACAGTTCTCCAAAAAGTACAATCTTTGTCCCCATGTGCAGTTGCAAACTGTAGTCTTGCTTTTTTATGGCGGTTTTGGAGCAGTGGCTTCTTCCTTGCTGAGCGGCCTTTCAGGTTATGTCAATATAGGACTCGTTTTACTGTAGATACTTTTGTACCTGTTTCCTCCAGCATCTTCACAAGATCCTTTGCTGTTGTTCTGGGATTGATTTGCACTTTTCGCACCAAAGTACGTTCATCTCTAGGAGACAGAACGTGTCTCCTTCCTGAGCGGCATGATGGCTGCGTGGTCCCATGGCGTTTATACTTGCGTACTATTGTTTGTACAGATGAACGTGGTACCTTCAGGCGTTTGGAAATTGCTCCCAAGGATGAACCAGATGCTTCTAAAGCCATGACATAATTTTCTGGAATTTTCCAAGCTGTTTAAAGGCACAGTCAACTTAGTGTATGTAAACTTCTGACCCACTGGAATTGTGTTTCAGTGAATTATAAGTGAAATAATCTGTCTGTAAACAATTGTTGGAAAAATGACTTGTGTCATGCACAAAGTAGATGTCCTAACCGACTTGCCAAAACTATAGTTTGTTAACAAGAAATTTGTGGAGTGGTTGAAAAACGAGTTTTAATGACTCCAACCTAAGTGCATGTAAACTTCCGACTTCAACTGTACGTACAGTGGCTTGCGAAAGTATTCACCCCCCTTGGCATTTTTCCAATTTTGTTGCCTTACAACCTGGAATTAAAATGGATTTTTGGGGGGGTTGTATCATTTGATTTACACAACATGCCTACCACTTTGAAGATAAAAAATTGTGAAACAAACAAGAAATAAGACAAAAAAACAGAAAAATTTAGCGTGCATAACTATTCAGCCCCCCAAAGCCAATACTTTGTAGTGCCACCTTTTGCAGCAATTAGAGCTGCAAGTATCTTGGGGTATGTCTCTATAAGCTTGGCACATCAAGCCACTGGGATTTTTGCCCATTCTTCAAGGCAAAACTGCTCCAGCTCCTTCAAGTTGGATGGGTTCCGCTGTTGTACAGCAATCTTTAAGTCATACCACAGATTCTCTATTGGATTGAGGTCTGGGCTTTGACTAGGCCATTCCAAGACATGTAAATGTTTCCCCTTAAACCACTCGAGTGTTGCTTTAGCAGTATGCTTAGGGTCATTGTCCTGCTGGAAGGTGAACCTCCGTACCAGTCTCAAATCTCTGGAAGACTGAAACAGGTTTCCCTCAAGAATTTCCCTGTATTTAGCGCCATCCATCATTCTTTCAATTCTGACCAGTTTCCCAGTCCCTGCTGATGAAAAACATCCCAATAGCATGATGCTGCCACCACCATGCTTCACTGTGGGGATGGTGTTCTCGGGGTGATGAGAGGTGTTGGGTTTGCACCAGACATATCGTTTTCCTTGATGGCCAAAAAGCTCAATTTTAGTCTAATCTGACCAGAGTACCTTCTTCCATATGTTTGTGGGGTCTCCCACATGGCTTTTGGTGAACACCAAACTTGTTTGCTTATTTTTTTCTTGAAGTAATGGCTTTTTTCTGTCCACTCTTCTGTAAAGCCCAGCTCTGTGGAGTGTACGGCTTAAAGTGGTCCTATGGACAGATACTCCAATCTCCGCTGTGGAGCTTTGCAGCTCCTTCAGGGTTATCTTTGGTCTCTTTGTTGCCTCTCTGATTAATGCCCTCCTTGCCTGGTTTGTGAGTTTTGGTGGGTGGCCCTCTCTTGGCAGATTTGTTGTGGTGCCATATTCTTTCAATTTTTTAATAATGGATTTAATGGTGCTCCGTGGGATGTTCAAAGTTTCTGATATTTTTTTATATCCCAACCCTGATCTGTAGATCTCCACAACTTTGTCCCTGACCTGTTTGGAGAGCTCCTTGGTCTTCATGGTGCCGCTTGCTTGGTGGTGCCCCTTGCTTAGTAGTGTTGCAGACTCTGGGGCCATTCAGAACAGGTGTATAAATACTGAGATCATGTGACAGATCATGTGACAATTAGATTGCACACAGGTGGACTTTATTTAACTAATTATGTGACTTCTGAAGGTAATTGGTTGCACCAGATCTTATTTAGGGGCTTCATAGCAAAGGGGGTGAATACATATGTACGCACCACTTTTCCGTTATTTATTTTTTAGACTTTTTTGAAACAACTTGTTTTTTTCATTTCACTTCACCAATTTGGACTATTTTGTGTATGTCCATTCCATGGAATCCAAATAAAAATCCATTTAAATTACAGGTTGTAATGCAACAAAATAGGAAAAACGCCAAGGGGGATGAATACTTTTGCAAGGCACTGTATAACAATTGAGAAAGAAAGATAAAAGTATATATCTTCTTACTAAAGTCATCATTCAACCCTTCAGCCTTCCACATTTTTATTATACATTGCAGAAGATTGCACTACAGTGAGTCTATGTGTAGAACGATACCGCAAAGCAAAATGTTACATTTTTCTGTTATAGAGGTCATTCTCAGGGATTCCCAGTGATTGTACTGGGATCTAATTTCACACATGAGATCTCTCTCGGCTGTTTGTCTTCTGTCTGTCTGTGTAGTTAGTTAGCAGCATGTTAACATTAAACGTCTGTTCGCCTCAGGCAAAACCACCAACATAGATAGAGAAAATAGAGAGATAAAAAAAATTAAACGCCTCAGAGGGAATTTTCATTTAATGTCCTCAACATTTCCCACCTCCCTTCCCTCCAATATGAAATATAGATATCTAATATACAATGAAGACAGCCTCCACAGCAAATACAGCAGTCTGTGGCTAGTGTCATTATGAAGGGGGCTGTAGAGGGCCTGTGTGCTGGGGGCTGGCTGGATGGATCACCTCTGGGCCTGTGGTAGTGGTTGTGATGAGCGCGTTTAGCGCTGTTCCCTGTAGTCTACTACTGATTAGACCTAGCATCTCCCTTATAACCTTAACTAGAACAACGCCCCGGAACGCTGCACTCCTCCACTGGGATGGAGAGGGGGATGAGCTGAGAGCTATTAATCCTCCTCTCCTCTGTCTTCTCAAAGTCACCCCACTATCCTCTTTCTCCTCTGCTATCTTCTCCTCTCCTCCTTCTGTACTTGGTCCCATCCTTTCATTTTGAGCCATAACTCCCCCTCTCTTCCTCTCCTAGTCTCCTCTTCTCTACTCCCTCCTTTTCCATTTGACCAAATGGAGGGAACTCAGAATTTTCATGGAATTGAGTTGGTTACGGTTCAAGTGAGCAGACTGCAATGTTTCTCATAGCAGCATTAATATGAAAATAAACCATCCTATGAATTTATTCTTTAATATAGCAGGTCCCTGACCTCAGTGGTAACATTATCCAGTGAGATAAGGATGAAATGAGAACAAAATAATTGATGGTGGTCTAAAGCCGTAGGGAGCTATTTTATGTCTATCTAGCCTATGTGGTTGTTTTTATGGACGTGGTACTTTACATTTTCATAGCTTCTTAAAAAAACACACACACGAGCGTGCACAGAAGGACACACATATACACATACACAGACATAAAAATCCAGAGCATTTGCTATATTTACATGTACATAGAAAAGACCTCCAACCTGTTTTTTAAAGGGGGCATAATCCAATATGCAAAAATAAAATCCAAAATGCTAATGTAAATGGACTGTGCCTGACCTACTATTGCTTTCAAGTGACTGGTCGGGTGGCTTGGGGTTAAACGCCCCCCAGGGTTAAACGCCCCCCTCCTGTAATTCTTCAACACTTTCCCTGGAAGCCACTAGTCTTGCTCAACTAAAAATGTAATCTGTCTCATCGCAACTTGTTAAATCATTCCAATAAAACGATTTTGAGGTACATTGATCTAATATTTTGTCATTTATTGATCGAATATTTTGTCATTTAGAAAAAGTTATATATATATAATATTATGAAGTTATACCTATAAACGTTTTTATATATACCAGTAGGGGAGCCTAAAGATAAATAATCCACTTGGTTAGAGAGAAAAATGTTAATCCGTTTTTAATAAAGTAGTACAATTTAAAGTGAGTATGTTTGGGTTTCTATTTTCATTAAATAACAAAATAAATATTATTTCCCTTCAAAGTGTGTTTGTCTAAGGTTAGCCAATATGCACATAACTAAATCTTACTTAACTTTTCCGTAAAGGAGGTCGTTTTCCCCCAAGTTACCCTCCTCGTTTTCTACTAATCATCACTGATTACTTTTATGGCTTTTATCTACCACAGTTCAGCGTTCACTGTGGGGGTTGATATGAACGGTAAAAGAGCTCAGTTTGCGTCGGAACAGTACCGCACTCTAGAGGAGACTAGAGGAACTGGGAGAGTCCCGTGGTGACGTCAGAGAGTCGGCGGTGAGTCTGGGCTGTCATGTGAAAGGCTGGAACAGTTCGACCAGGAAATCTCAGCTTGTTGATAGAGCTACAGTTTAACTGCCCACCATCTGGAAGCACATAAGTTGTATTTAGTGTTTAGGCCTAGTATTTAGGAAAAAAGGTTTTAATTTGTGCGCCATGGCTTCTCTATTCAAGAAGAAGACAGTCGACGGTAAGTTTGTTTTCCACTGCTAGTAGGCTTGTAACAAAGTAACAAAGTTGTTTGAATTGGTGAGAGCCAGTCCGCCACCAACGAACATAGATAGACCTGCCTACTGAACGAGCCAGTTCAACTGTTTTACCAGTTCACCTGATACCAGTTTGAAAAGTGAAGATGCATGTTTATGTTACGAAATCAACAATGACATTGGTCAACGTGGAATCCTCTCAAGTTAGATTGTGTCACAGTCTGAAACTAGACAAATACTATTCCACTTGTCTGTTTATCAGTGAAAGTTGCTTGTTAAGTTAAAACCGGTGTCACAATTTATGACCATCGTGTAACTGGTGTGAACAGTGTAGTTGCATTAGGCTAAGTTAGTACATTGTTACATTGATTTGATGATGCTGCCTAGTATGTTCAAGGGTTACTTTAACTTACCTGCTGACTGCAACAGATGAATTCCATGATGAACAGCATCTAGCAGTGTAAGTCCTGTAAGAAAGCTTTGTTCAGGTTTAGACGGAGCTAGTGAGAGAATAATGTGATCCAGAAATACTGGTGTAGAATTATTGTTACTTCACTCTGTTCAGTAAAAGACAGATGGATAAAAATAAGGTTTATCACACTGTCTACTCGATCCATTCCCTCTACTCTCTAAAAGTTACATATCGGGATATTATTTTTGACTATGTCGTATCGTTTTGACAATATCGCAATATTATTTTTGCGCCAGTTGGCTGTACTTGCACCAAAACTCCAGTATTTTTCCTTCATAGCTTGTTCTCCATCTTTCTAAATTAGGCACCAAAGTATCTTGATAATATCATATGGTGAGGTCCCTGGCAATTCCCAGCAATGATCATGTCAAGATTTCCATTAGGCTATGTTTGACTGTAAAACACTTCTCAGTTTTCCTGTCTCATAGAGTAGTCAAACATGACGCAAGGGGAAACAAAAAGTCATCAGTCAACCCTGAAGTGTGTGTGAGTTCAGGCTGCCTGTAAAGATAACACAGTACATGCCATGCAGATTTTTGCTGCTGCTGATACTTAGAAAATGTAGCAATATGTTGAAAGGATTGATTTTCAGGTCTCTCTTTAAAAATATATTTGTATCTCAATGTGCCTAACCTCGATATAGAAAATAATAGGAAGAAATGTCTCCATCTTATCGTGTATTTCCTTGAGCCATTGGAATACTGTGCCTAATGCCTATCAGTCAAAATGTATTGGTCTTACAGGGTCAGAATGCAACAGAACCCTTCCAATATATAATAAATACATTACATCTAAATCACTAACTTTATTAAACAGAAACCTATTGTAAGTTTCTATATAATCCATTTTAAGTTTCTACCTAATTCAATATTAATAAGCTCTTCCATGACCACGGTCTCATTGATGGAGAATCAATATTCACTTACTGTGATTGTGCTGTACCTTTACTCAAGGCCAGATAGTTGATAGGATATCTCAGCATCTCTATCCCCTCTCTCATTCTTTCTCTCTCCTCTCTCTCTGGGCGTGGGGTGCCAAGGTTGCCCAGTGTCGAGAAGCGGTGGTATCCCGTGGTAGGGCGTGCGGGGTGCGATGGCGGGCAGAGAATAGCTGGTGGAGTTTTGTAGACGATACCCCACCCTCTTTTAGACGTTGTCGTTACGTCACCCTGTACGTAGATACTACTCTTCGCTCTCACAAGTGGTCCAGCTCTCTCTCTCTCTCTCTCTGGAGTTTTTTGGGTGACGAGGGCACCATTGGTACCTATAGCAAGGATTCTCACTAATTTCAGTTCATTTTTCTCAACATGTTTTACTTTAGGGTAATTTTGTAAGATTATGGGAGCCTGCTATTCTGCAACAACATTTATCTGCAAAAATGTTACTGCAGTATTCTTTTGGGGGGGAAGTATATATATATTTTTCACTTTCCTAATGCATTTTCCTCTAAAAGCTTGACATGCTTTACAACAACACAACTTTCACTGCTGCATGCTTCAGTTTGGACTTCCACTGCAGGAATTACCTGAACATTAAACAAATGCTTTCCTATTATTTAAAAAAAATGTTTTATTTATACCTTTCTATAGTTTTGAGGAAAAACCTTCTTTTGAGGAATGATAGCTAGTTTTCTGTTGAATATTTAGCGTTTTGATCCAGCAATGAAACAGAGGGTCAATTTAGAGGTTGTGTTAGAGGTTGTTGGTAGCGCTTCTAGTACCCTCTCCACTGTAGAGAGAATCTCTGGGAGTCCTCTCACTCTAGTGAAGGAGTCCAGTGCAATGGTTTAGTGTATCAGCTGGTGGAGTGCCCTAGCGCACTATATGTGTCTGCGGTAACCTTAGAGCTAATAGCAGTGTAGTGGGGGCCATGTCCTCTACCCAAATACAGGAGCTGGGACGGCTGGGACACATTCACAGCAGGGTGTGTGAGAGAGAGAATGTGTAGGACAGTAAGTGTGCCTTTGCCTACAGACATGCCTGGTCTCAGGGACTGCTCTTCAACCAAACTCATAATCCACAGCAGGGTGTGTGTCTTATATTTGGGACTGCTGCTGAATGACTCTTCATGCATGCCTTCACTTATCCACTTAATTTCATGCTTGTGCCTATATTGTCCCTTTTGATGTTACACTTCAAGTTTTTTTTATCCTGCCTTAAAACGTGGATTCTTATTTATTTATTTTTGTTACATTATTGCTGTTGTATGTATGAAGTCAGGAGCCTGGTGTATTTTTATTGGAAACCCTTGAAACAAGACGCATCACATAGTTTACCCTGCCTATATTTCTAAAAGTATAAATAATATGGTATTAAGGAATGTTTTTAGTCTGGGTCTATCTGAAGTATGAATTATCTCAATAAGAGTTCAATCCTGAGCTCTTTTTAGTGTTGGTCCCTCTGTACATTAAGAAAGAACCCAGTTTTATCGTGTACAGTTGAGTCTGGTATTTGGAGCATAGTGTGTGTGTCGGACTGTGTTACACACGCTGTGTCAGGGTAATGGGTAGTGTGTGAGGCAGGGATGGCTTAGAGTCCAGGCTCAGCCCTGTGAATGAGGAATGTCCAGAGCTATTGTCCCTGTCTATCTACCCGTGTGAACAGAATGTTACTCTGCTTCTATAGCTTTACAGAAAGCCCAATGCCCAGCATAACTGTATGTATGTATGTAATAAAAAAACAGTTTGATTCAATAACTGTGTATGTTCGTAGGGTAAATGTTTTTCTAATTTCTCTCTCTCTCTCTCTCTCTCTCTCTCTCTCTCTCTCTCTCTCTCTCTCTCTCTCTCTCTCTCTCTCTCTCTCTCTCTCTCTCTCTCTCTCTCTCTCTCTCTCTCTCTCTCTCTCTCTCTCTCAGACATTATAAAGGAACAGACTAAGGAGCTTCGAGGTACTCAGAGACAGATCGCTAGAGACAGAGCTGCTCTGGAGAAACAAGAGAAACAAATGGTGAGACCCCCTCACCCTATGAAGTGCTGTAGGATGGCGGCAGGTTTTAGTTTCTCAGTACAACCTTTTCCTTAGATTATTGCTGATTGCATCAAATGTGTGTAAATGACTGTAGGCAAATCTGGCTCCATCCTACCCCCTACCTCCACTCACATCCCTTTCCTGCTCTGTCTGTCTGGCCTAAAGGATGCTTAGCTAACGACTGGGATAGAAAAACAGGTTTGGACAGGTAGAATAGCTACAGGGGAAAGAGGAGGTAGAACACGTCCACACACACACACACACACACACACACACACACTGAGTCACCATAGGGCTGTGTGAACAGCAGAATAGAACATTTCCCACTATATCAGAAGGATGAATGGAAGAGTGGTCTCTCTGTTGTAAACATCACCCAGGCCATAATTACCTTCCCAGGGACCAGCTTTTTATTACTCAATAATATTTATCCTAATTAATCTAGTTTTTATCTTTGTTGTTGGTCTGAAAAAAAGCTATTCTCTAAGAAGAGAAAGTGACCTATATTACAATTTAGCATAAATGCATTTGTGACAGACACATTTGTGTCTGTTTACGCTTCCTCTTCTGGGGCTGCTGTAGTTGCTATGCTGGGAGACTTATTATTATTATTATTAGACTCTTAACACAGAGACTACTGGGGCTTTCAGCACATTTGGAGAATAACATTTTTTCGTCTTCAACAAGATATCTATATTATTCAGCAAAGTGTATGTACTGGCATGGATCCAGGGATAGCCCATGATTTGAATTTATAGCCACTTTATTCTATAGAACAACTTGGTTCATTATTCAGATGAAAAATAGCATGTTTTGTCACCTCTATCTAGCTGAAATATTGTCCTGGTCAAGTGAGCATTTCAGTAAATATAGTACAATGCAATGAGGATAATGAAACACAGTTCATTTCAGTAGTAATAATAATTATAGTACATACAGTATGAGATACACCACATGGATTCGGTCATATGTAGCAACATTTGAATTTTTTTTTTTTTTTTACATTGGATAAAAGTAGAAACTCAGAGCTATAAAATTGTATATCATACACTGCAGTTGAGGAACAATGGTAAAGTAATTATTATTTGAATGTTGACAAACATTTAACCCCACTTGTGAGAAAATGGCCCATAAAAGTTTTGGTACACCTACTGGAGACCTCTTCTTTGTCTTCACCCATTCAGCATAGTTCACACCCTCTTAAGCCTTAGCCCCACCCATCTCTTTAAGGATTCACATGTGAGGCCATGTGCTAGTCAGAGTAAATAGGTAGTGTAGTAAACAATCAAAGATTTCAAGATTAAAAGTAGTAGCAAAAAGTAGTAGTAAAAATACACTTTATCTAGTCCTTGGGCTATATCCTAATCTGACTTTGGTGCAGGTCATGTTGTTCTTCACATTACCGTCTCTGGTAAACACACTATATCAAATTAAATCTACGTTTATTTGTTACATGCACAGGATACAGAAAGTGTAAACGGTACAGTGAAATGGTTACTTGCATAGTAGTCTTGTGTTTAGAAATGTAGCTGGCTAGCTATCTTAACAATGAACCATAATCCCAACTCATAATGCCATGCACCATGCATGCATTTGCAGGTAGCTAAAGCTAACCAATGATGTTCAATGTTAGCTAGCTAACAATAGGCTATAACTAGCAATGCAAATGGTTTTCTGAGATACAAATAATATTACTACACAGATCATACACGTACTGTTAGCTAGCGAGCCAGCCAGCTAACATTAGCTAGCTAACAGTACGCTTTAACTTGCAATGAAAACACCTTTGTGACAAAATTAGCTAGACTCTTACCCGTATACATGGATGAACGCATCTCCCTCTGTCATGGATGCCATGGTTACCCTTAGTTTGAAGATGTAATCTGGAGACAGGTGTTTTATACAGCAGCCTCCTGTGTTCTCTTTTCGACTCTCTCCACATTTGGGAATCATCTCTCTGGTTCCAACTGGCATTCCACTGATTTCAAAACTCGCTCATCTTCTTCCGAGACAACAACACTGTTGATCGCTGTTTCTTCTGATGACAGTGATGGGGGAAGACTACAATGTCTGGTTCAATTAAAATGTTTTTTCCTAAATCAGGGATTTCCTCATCGTCTGATTCATTTGCAGAGTCGGAGAGAGTCAGCATGGCACGATCGTCCTCCAGAAAGTAGTCCATCATGACTTTTTCCCACTGATTTTTGTCGATAGGGCTATTAACCTCAGGGCAGCAATGCTACACTTATAAAATAAGCCGCGGTAGAAAGGATTATCTACACATACTGAGCAGCTCATGTTATAGACAGAAGCATGCTACATGGCAGACCAATCCGAACTCCTCTCCCGGCATGTCCAGCCCATCCATTATCTCAGCCAATCATGGCTAGCGGGAAGGTTCCTGTATTTTTCCGTGGCTAAACCAACTAGGCTCGTAATTTAACAATTGTATTCGTATTTAAAGATGGCATACAAGTTTGTTATTAAGGCACATGAAAGTTCACATGTTCGCGAAGGCATTTCTGCCAAAAAATGCTTTTTGATTTAAAAAAAACGTTAAAATGCCACTCCTGTGAAGTAGTGACGTGCGACATACTCCTAGTTACTTGAAACGGGTCACATATAATTGTGTCTACAGGTACAACACTACTGCTGTTGTATTGTGTAATCTTTGGTCGATACATTTAATTAAATAAAAATAAGATAAAGAAAGAATGGCTGATAAATAAATAAACATCAAAATGTATGTGGATGATGGTTTTACTATGTATTATTTGTAAGTTATATACAATGTAAATACTTCATGGAATTAATGGTAATGGGATGTCCCTCAGGCTTTGGCAATCATATACATATCTGACAGTAATATTTGCGGTTTCTCCCTCACCCAGAATAATTTCCAGCTTTATGTTATTAGTAAATGCACAGAAGTTGGGAATTGATTGAGACTTTCTTGAAAAAAAGATTATCTTATTTGGAAGTATTTCTCACAGTAGAGGAAAAAGTGCATCTGTCTCTACCTCCCCTGTCATGCAGTGACCACATAGACTATCTTCTTTGGGTAACCATGTCTTTTTGTGTCTCCCTGTTTCTATAGCCAATTGGTGGTCACTGAGCCTTTATTTGGTCAGGATCTGACTCTGTTTTGTGTCTCTGACAGAGTAGAGATATTCTGCCCATTTGTATTATCTTTCGAGGGCCAAATAGCAATTTAGTTTATTCTGTGTTTTTGTTTTGTTTTCCCAATTTGTCAAATAGGAGGTTTTTCATTTCTGTAACAACTTGATTGATTTCCTTGTGTGTTTGGATAATAGGGTGTTTAGTGTTTTTAACAGCTGACATAGGGGACTCTTATTTTTTTCAGGGTTCAGTTCTTGGGTTTCCAGTGCTTTGAATTGTAAGAATGTTTTGGGGCATAATTTCAAATGGTGCCAACATTTGTTCTTTTCTTTATATTTACAAATGAAGGGAATCGTCTGATTTCCGCTCTGCATGTATTATTTGGTACTTTCTTTTGAAAATGTAGGATGATTCTGCAGAATTCTCTATGTAGATTTTGTATTGGGTTTTTCTCCCAATGCTTATAATCGTAATTACAGGTTGGACCCCAAACCTCGCTTCCATATAGTGCAATTGGTAAAATTACACAATTGAATATTTTGCAGAGTTAAATGCTTTGCGGCCTTTTTCTTTAGTGCATTCACTGCCAGACCAAATCCACCAGAGGCACAGCTTTTTTGTCCCGGGTAGTTGTACCATTGGGCATGTTCAACCATGGTATTTCTTAATCAGCTGCTCTGATTCCTGGCCTTTTTCTGGAAAATCACAACTTTGGTTTTCTGAAAGTTGATATTGATTGCCCAGTTGATGCTGTATTCCCAAAGAATGTAAAGTTTTTCCTGTAGACCTTGCTCTGTTGGTGACAGTAGGACAAGGTCATCTGTGCCACTCGTCATCCCAGCCTAGATCACTGTTACATATTTCAATGTAATTTTGCTTTATGGCAGATAGCAAATAGAAGCATCATTATTCTTACATTTTCTGTCTATTCTAATCATGAATCTGTTTAGCAGGCAGAGACAGACGGCACCTGTTTGTTTGTCTAAGGGGTAATGTAATGGAAATCTGCCTACTCAGCTGTTTAGCAGAGCGCTCTACCTAAGGAGGAGACTGGATCTGCTGAACAATCATCTCCTTCACTCAGCTCTTCTCCACTCTACATAGCACTGATCATCCTAATGACAGTTTAACCCGCACTACATACTGACAGAGAGAAGGGGTGAAGGGATGGGAGGATTATTCCTGTAAACAACTGTAATAATGATCATTAATAAATGATTGTTTTGAGGACTGGCTCTTCAGAACAAACACATAAACACAGACACACAGGGCTGCAGATGCAACTGTACTGTTTCCCAGGGGACATAGCTTTACAGCCTTGCAGTGTGTGTTCCCTCAGGCTGAGAGGCTGTTTTACCAAAGCTAAGAAAGGCTGCTAGCTCTCAGGTGTTTAGACCATCGACAAATCACAGTATTTACACTGTTTATACTCTAACAGGGCTCCCTGGGGAAACTGATGTGTATGTGTTGTATATTTGAATGTATATGTAGTAATGTACAGTATGTGTCTATATGAGTGTAGTGAAGTTGGCCGTTTACAGCCGAATGCAAAGCCAGTCAGAAGCTCCCCCTTGCTAATCCCCCTATTCCTCCCCTCCCCTGTAGGAGATTGAGATCAAGAAGATGGCTAAGTCTGGGAACCGCGAGGCGTGTAAGATCCTGGCCAAGCAGCTGGTACAGCTGAGGAAGCAGAAGAACAGGACATACGCCGTCAGTTCAAAGGTCACCTCCATGTCCACACAGACCAAGGTCATGAACTCTCAGATGAAGATGGCTGGCGCCATGTCTTCTACGGCTAAGGTAAAGAGCACCACACACATGCGTGCATTCACACACACACATTTTGGATGTTGGGCCTCCAAAAGTCAGACATTTTTTTATTGTATTGTAGCTCCAAACACACACATCTGTGTGTCTGTGTAAATGTGGCCAAAAGCAGACTGACTAACCCAGTTAAAACATTAAAACAGCTTCTCCAAAACAGCAGAGTTCACAGGATTCCTCTCCTCTCTTCATCTCTGAGTGTGTGTGAGAATTAGTGTGTCTATATATCCTGTCATCCCCTCAGGATGTGAATGTTTGTCTGATTGGGTGGAGATTCTCATTTCACCCTCTTCCATCCTATACCTGTTCACAGCTCAGAGACACAGATCAGATGACATCCTTACACATCTTAGTTGTTATCAATTAAGTAATGTATCTGGTAATGTATAAAGTAGCATATCTAATTAGCCCAGTTATAGGACTATTAGCCCATTATGTTTAGCGCTTTGAATGTGAACTAGTTACAGTCGGCAAGTATTTATTCAAGAAATTCAGAACTAAGAACAGAAATAGCCCCTGGTTCACCCCAGACTTGACTGCCCTTGACCAGCACAAAAACATCCTGTGGCGTACTGCATTAGCATTGAACAGCCCCCGCGATATGCAACTTTTCAGGGAAGTCAGCAACCAATATACACAATCAGTTAGGAAAGCAAAGGCTAGCTTTTTCAAACGGAAATGTGCATCCTGTAGCACTAACTCCAAAAAGTTTTGGGACACTATAAAGTCCATGGAGAATAAGAGCGCCTCCTCCCAGCTGCCCACTGTCACCACCGATAAAACTACGATAATCGAGAATTTCAACAAGCATTTTGCTACGGCTGGCCATGCTTTCCACCTGGCTACCCCTACCCCCGGCCTCCAGCTCTGCACCCTCCGCTGCAACTTGCCCATGCCCCCCCCCCACGCTTCTCCTTCACCTAAATTCAGATAGCTGATGTTCTGAAAGAGCTGCAAAATATGGACCCCTACAAATCAGCTGGGCTAGACAATCTGGACCCTTTCTTTCTAAAATTAGCTGCCGAAATTGTCGCAACCCCTATTACTAGCCTGTTCAACCTCTCTTTCGTGTCGTCTGAGATTGGAAAGCTGCCACGGTCATCCCCCTCTTCAAAGGGGGTGACACTCTGGATCCAAACTGTTACAGACCTATATCCATCCTGCCCTGCCTTTCGAAAGTATTTGAAAGCCAAGTTAACAGATCACCGACCATTTCGAATCCCACCGTACCTTCTCCGCTATGCAATCTGGTTTCCGAGCTGGTCATGGGTGCACCTCAGCTACGCTCAAGGTCCTAAATTATATTATAACCGCGATTGATAAAAGACAGTACTGTGCAGCCGTCTTCATCGACCTGGCAAAGGCTTTCGACTCTGTCAATCACCGCATTCTTATTGGCAGGCTAAATAGCCTTGGTTTCTCAAATGACTGCCTCGCCTGGTTCACCAACTACTTCGCAGATGGAGTTCAATGTGTCAAAACGGAGGGCCTGTTGTCTGGACCTCTGGCAGTCTCTATGGGGTGCCACAGGGTTCAATTCTCGGGCCGACTCTATTCTCTGTGTATATCAATGATGTCGCTCTTGCTGCTGGTGACTCTTAGATCCACCTCTACGCAGACGACACCATTTTGTATACATCTGGCCCTTCATTGGACACTGTGTTAACAAACCTCCAAACGAGCTTCAATGCCATAAACACTCCTTCCGTAGCCTCCAATTGCTCTTAAACGCTAGTAAAACTAAATGCATGCTCTTCAATCGAACGCTGCTTGCACCCGCCCGCCCGCCCGACTAGAATCACTACTCTCGGCGGGTCTGACTTAGAATATGTGGACAACTACAAATACCTAGGTGTCTGGTTAGACTGTAAACTCTCCTTCCAGACTCACATTAAGCATCTCCAATCCAAAGTTAAATCTAGAATCTGCATCTTATTTCGCAACAAAGCCTCCTTCACTCATGCTGCCCTCGTAAAACGGACTATCCTACCGATCCTTGACTTCGGCGATGGCATATACAAAATAGCCTCCAACACTCTACTCAGCAAATTGGATGTAGTCTATCACAGTGCCATCCGTTTTGTCACCAAAGTCCCATATACTACCCACCATTGTGTCCTGTATGCTCTCGTTGGCTGGCCCTCACTACATATTCGTCGCCAAACCCAGTGGCTCCAGGTCATCTATAAATCACTGCTAGGCAAATCCCCGCCTTATCTTAGCTCATTGGTCACCATAGCAACACCCACCCGTAGTATGCGTTCCAGCAGGTATATCTCACTGGTCATCACCAAAGCCAACACCTCCTTTGGCCGCCATTCCTTCCAGTTCTCTGCTGCCAATGACAGGAAAGAACTGAAAAATCTCTGAAGCTGGAGACTCTTATCTCCCTCACTAACTTTAAGCATCAGTTGTCAGAGCAGCTTACTGATCACTGCACCTGTACACAGGCCATCTGTAATTAGCCCACCCAACTACCTCATCCCCATATTGTTATTTATTTGGCTCATTTGCACCCCAGTATCTCTATTTGCACATCATCTTCTGCACATCTATCACTCCATTGTTAATACTAAATTGTAATTATTTTGCACTATGGCCTATTTATTGCCTTACCTCCATAACTTACTAAATTTGCACACACTGTATATAGATGTTCTATTTTTCTATTGTGTTGTTGACTGTACGTTTTTGTTTATCCCATATGTAACTCTGTGTTGTTGTTGTTTTTTTATCGCACTGCTTTGCTTTATCTTGGCCAGGTCGCAGTTGTAAATGAGAACTTGTTCTCAACTGGCCTACCTGGTTAAATAAAGGTGAAAAAAAATATATATATATATATTCATGTATTAATGATCAATCTGTTTCTAATCAGAGCATTGTCTCTGTGTGTGGTAGTTAATTAGTCATGATCGGGATGTCTGATTGGCTGGTAGGAAACAGAGAGAGGTCTAATTCTGTGAGACCTATCTGTAACAGAAAAATGTATGTGTTTAGGGAGGACCACTCCTTTGTTTGTTACCAGGCTGAGGTGGCAGAGAGTAGCTGAATGTGTGCATTGTGTACCTACCCCACGATGACTCCTGCTACTCTGGGATAAGGCTTCAGTCTGGAGGGAAAACATTAAAGTCTCCCCAAAACAATGGGTCTGCAGAGAGACCCACTAACAACAGGGACACACTTGAAAAAAGTTTGAGAGCAATATACAAATGACATCTAATTAGATGTGGCGTGTGCTGCTCATTTGGCTGTTTTTGGCTCCGGCGTGAAACTAGGCCATGGCTGATAACACACAGGAAGAAGAGGCAGAATCCCTCTGCGTGTTGATGATGCGCATACATGCTCTGGGAGTTGTGTATTGTGTCTGTGTAATATAACAGTTTTGGTGGTGTAAGTCTTGTGTGTCTGTATGTTTGTCCAGACGATGCAGGCGGTGAACAAGAAGATGGATCCTCAGAAGACCCTCCAGACCATGCAGGACTTCCAGAAGGAGAACATGAAGATGGGCATGACAGAGGACATGAGTAAGACCTGCTGTCATTGGCTCCCTAGCCTAAAAGTTTAACATTTAAAAGATGCACAATAGTAACGGACCAAAAAAAACTGTCAAAGTCCGAACCAAAAAGCCCATACAGATCAATGTGTTAGCCTAGTGGTTCAATGACCTGTTAACTTGCAGCTTTTAACGGTAAACTGACTAGTACCTCTGTTTGTCTATCTGCCTCTCTTTTTCTCTGTCTGCCCCCTTTCCCCCTCTACCCCTCTCTCTCTCTCCCTCCCTCCCTTGCTCCCTCCAGTCAACAATACATTAGATGAGATATTTGAGGAGTCAGGAGACGAGGAAGAATCTCAGGACATTGTGAACCAGGTTCTGGACGAGATCGGCATTGAGATCTCTGGAAAGGTAAGACATACTGCCCTATGCCATTCCCAAGTCACTTCTCCCTATAAGCAGTCCTCTGGAAAGGTAAGACATAGTCCTGTACCATCTCAAAGCCCCCCCCCCCCCGATCTGGATGCTTTGAGGTGTAACAGACATATAGACAGACAATAGGAGGAGAGCGGGATAGCCCTTAGCCTGCCTGTCTTAATGGGAAGATAGCCTGTAGACCAGTGTTTCCCAACTCCAGTCCTCGAGTATCCAACAGTAGGGCCGGGACGATACCAGTATTACGATACTCGTTAGTATCGTGGCAAGGAAACAAAACACAAAGTGGATTTAACTTCTTTAGGAAAACAGCCCTAATGTTGGAAACATTATGTTGTCATCCAGAGTCACATTTATTTATTTTCCAACCTAAAGCAGACAATATTTTACATACAGCAGGTTTTTAAAGGACCAAAGAGTTCTGTCTGCCTCGTGTTTTCATTTTTGTCATGTAAAAAATATTGCGATACTGGTATCGTCATAGCCCTACCCAACAGCACACATTTTTTTTGTAGCCCCGGACAAACTCACCTGATTCAACTTATTGAGGGCTTGATGTTTAGTTGACAAGTTGAATCAAGTGTGTTTGTCCGGAGCTACAACAACAATGTGTGCAGTTGGGGGTACTGGAAGACTGGAGTTGGGAAACACTGCTGTAGACTGTGCCTGTCGCCTGCCTGCCTGTCTTTATGGGAAGATTGCGTGAAGGCCCCTAGTGGGTTTGTGGGGGAACTGCAGTGGGGTTGCCAAAATTCAAATAAAAATACATGTGTGTTTTTGTGTGTGTGTGTGTGTGTGTGTGTGTGTGTGTGTGTGTGTGTGTGTGTGTGTGTGTGTATGTATGTATGAGTACAGATTATTGTATGGGACAATATACAAACGGTTTTGAGAAAGATTTGAAAAACATTTTGAGTAGATGTATTTATTGGTTTATATTAATTTAGATAAGAGATGAATGCAATGAATTAAAGGTTAGTTGTTGATGTAAAAATCTAAATGTACAGATTTTAAGGTTGTGTCATTAGATTTGGTTGAGGTAGCGAGAAATTCATGGGGGGAAAAAATGGGGTCCCCGCTGAAAAAGTTTGAATACCACTGCTGTAGACTGCCTGTAGCCTGCCTGTCTTTATTGGATGACAGCCAGTTACTGTAGCCTGCCTGTCTTTATGGGATGACAGTCTGTAGTCTGTGCATGTAGCCTGCCTGTCTTTTATGGGATGATGGCCTATACCAGGGGTGTCAAACTCATTCCACTGAGGGCCGAGTGTCTGCAGGTTTTTTTTTTTTTCTTTCAATTAAGACCTAGACAACCAGGTGAGGGGAGTTTCTTACTAATTAGTGACCTTAATTCATCCATCAAGTACAAGGGTGGAGCGAAAACCTGCAGACACTCGGCCCTCCGTGGAATGAGTTTGACACGTGCTGTAGACTGTGCCTGTAGACTACCTGTGTGGTGATAAATGAGAGGCAGTTACAGTGACTGTCGATCTGGCAGAGAACCCACTCCCCCTGGGGGACAGCATGTGTTACTATACCACTGCTCTCTATGCAGAAGGGCTACTGTGTGTTGTAAGCCCAGTGCCAGTGTTAACCTGTTGTAATGTGTGTCGTAAGCCCAGTGCCAGTGTTAACCTGTTGTAATGTGTGTTGTAAGCCCAGTGCCAGTGTTAACCTGTTGTAATGTGTGTTCGTAAGCCCAGTGCCAGTGTTAACCTGTTGTAATGTGTGTTGTAAGCCCAGTGCCAGTGTTAACCTGTTGTAATTGTGTGTCGTAAGCCCAGTGCCAGTGTTAACCTGTTGTAATGTGTGTGTTGTAAGCCCAGTGCCAGTGTTAACCTGTTGTAATGTGTGTGTTGTAAGCCCAGTGCCAGTGTTAACCTGTTGTAATGTGTGTGTGAAGCCCAGTGCCAGTGTTAACCTGTTGTAATGTGTGTGTTGTAAGCCCAGTGCCAGTGTTAACCTGTTGTAATGTGTGTGTTGTAAGCCCAGTGCCAGTGTTAACCTGTTGTAATGTGTGTCGTAAGCCCAGTGCCAGTGTTAACCTGTTGTAATGTGTGTGTTGTAAGCCCAGTGCCAGTGTTAACCTGTTGTAATGTGTGTCGTAAGCCCAGTGCCAGTGTTAACCTGTTGTAATGTGTGTCGTAAGCCCAGTGCCAGTGTTAACCTGTTGTAATGTGTGTGTTGTAAGCCCAGTGCCAGTGTTAACCTGTTGTAATGTGTGTGTTGTAAGCCCAGTGCCAGTGTTAACCTGTTGTAATGTGTGTGTTGTAAGCCCAGTGCCAGTGTTAACCTGTTGTAATGTGTGTGTTGTAAGCCCAGTGCCAGTGTTAACCTGTTGTAATGTGTGTGTTGTAAGCCCAGTGCCAGTGTTAACCTGTTGTAATGTGTGTGTCGTAAGCCCAGTGCCAGTGTTAACCTGTTGTAATGTGTGTGTCGTAAGCCCAGTGCCAGTGTACCTGTTGTAATGTGTGTGTGTGTAAGCCCAGTGCCAGTGTTAACCTGTTTGTAATGTGTGTGTTGTAAGCCCAGTGCCAGTGTTAACCTGTTTGTAATGTGTGTGTTGTAAAGCCCGTGCCAGTGTTAACCTTGTAATGTGTGTGTCATAAGCCCAGTGCCATTGTTAACCCTGTTGTAATGTGGGTGTGCCCCGTAGCCCAGTGCCAGTGTTAACCTGTTGTAATGTGTGTGTTGTAAGCCCAGTGCCAGTGTTAACCTGTTGTAATGTGTGTGTTTGTAAGCCCAGTGCCAGTGTTAACCTGTTGTAATGTGTGTGTAAGCCCAGTGCCAGTGTTAACCTGTTGTAATTTGTGTGTCGGTAAGCCCCAGTGCAGGAGAGTCTTTCTTTGCTTTGTAAGACGGAATAACCTGTTTGAATGCGTGATAGTGAGACCAGTCCGTGAACCTGGATGTGGTGTAACCACACCATAACCTTTTAAATACACCCACACATAACACACAATGTCTTGTACCAGTGCAGGACCTGCTGAAGGGGTAGCCTCATTGATGTTACTTCAAGTGTTGTGTAAGGCCTCATGTTCACGTTTAATGTTGTTGTGCCATGCCGTTCTCCATTGTGTGTGAGGTAGCCAACCTGTTGGGGTGATAAGTCATAGCAGTGCATGAGTTAATGATGATTGTTGTCGTGCCAGTCCACATTTTTTGTAATGTCTAAGACCGTGGTGATGTAACCCTGAATGTGTTGTCTAGCCACTGCCATTAACCTTTAGTAGTACTACAGAGGTTGACTCTGGAAAAGTGACTCCTTACTGCTTCTCAAACGGAAAACGCAGATCTCTGACGACGAGATAGAGAGACAGCTCCGAGCCTTGGGAGTGGACTGACACACACACATACACACACACACAATCTGCTGCAGCAGGCAGCCTGCTGAAGGGGTAGCCTTCATTATGTACTTACAGACGGTTGACTCTGGAAAAGTGACCTCTATGTTCACGTTATATTTTGTGCATGGCTTCTCCATTAGTCCTGGGAGTACCAATCCTGTGGGAGGATGATAAAGTCATAGAAATAGAATGAAGTAATGATGATTGTTCTCTGTGCTCTCACATTTTTAGGTACAGTACTATAGACGCTGGTGATGTCAGACTACTGACAATGTGTCTGTCTAGTTCCACTGACATTAACTCTAGGAGCTACTGACAATACTGACATTAACCCCAACGAGTAGGGTAAGGACTTTTTCAATAATAAAAATGTTGCTTGAGAATCTATGGAATTAGCAGGATCAAACTGGATACGAGTTACGTACAGAGATTCAGTTTAAAACAAAAACGTGTGAAATAATAATCTAATGCTAATTCAAACTAATAATCATTAACATGATATATCAAAGAATGGTTCAGTTGAATTGCCTGTTATGTGCCACTGAGTTGTTCTCTAATTTGAAGATATTGTCTGTGTTTTAGTTGATCTCTGTGTCCTGTCTTTCTGAAGTGGGATTGAACCAGCAGTCTCTCTGTCCTCCTCATCTCTCTCTTTATCTTGGCTGCTGTGCAGTTAATATATCTGTTGTTAGAGCTGTTTGTTTAAACCACACACACACATTCTAGAGTGGACAAGGAGTTTGTGAAGATTACACTGATCGTTTTGTCTTCCTGACGCTCTCTCTCTCTGTTTCACTCCACCATGCTGTAAGAGCAGGTTAGGAGACAATGACGTATTGTGCAATGTCAGCTAAACAGCATTTCATGCATCCTAGAATGTTCCCTCTCATGGTTCTCTTGTGGTTTTCTAATGTCTACTAGTATATCACTGTATAGTAAAATAATGATCTTAATGATTGTTACTGGAAAACATTGACTGGCTCACTATCGTTACATCAATTTCTTTTCAACTTGATCTTTGGTGTAATTCGGCATACAGGAAATGTAAATGAATGAAGGTTGTTGTCACACTTTTTATCCACCATGTATGTCAACTACTGTATGTATCCTCTGTATCTGTACAGTTCTACTGTTTAGGGTTGATTACTTTTATAATGAATAAAATGGCTTAATGAACAAAAACAATTGTTTTATTGTCACTAACATAGGATAGGTGCAGTGAAATGTGTTGTTTTACGAGCTGCTGCTAAACAATGACCTCCTTCACATCATTGGTGTTTTTATTCCGTTTTGAAGAGGACAGCCACATTAGAAGCATGGAGACCCAGAGCAGTAACGACACACTCCAGAGGACACACTCAAGGGCTGGAGTCAATTTGAATTTAAGGGGAGTCAATTCAGGAAGGGATTTTAATAGAAGATCTGGTTCGAAATCCAGCTCTGTTAGCGCCCGAACGGAGACCTGGCGGCGCAATGCCAGCGTGTCCGGTAGGGGAGGAATGGCCGGAGGGTTTATGTAGCTCAGTTGAAAGAGCATGGCGTTTGCAAGCAGGTGTGGTTCGATAAATTATTATGTTGTACGTAAGTGCTCTGGATAAGAGCGTCTGCTAAATCTAAATGTAAAATTGAAATGTAAATGTCCATGAAATCAACAAATGGAAACTTTGAAGAAATGCTTCTCAGTTTATTTAGATGTCATTGAAAATAGATGCCGTTTTTTCAAATTTTGAATTATGTAAGTTTACTTCCTGAATTGACTGCCTTCAATTGGAATTGACCCCAGCCCTGACACACTCACACAGCTTTGTCCCGCTGGAGAGCGCAGCCATATAAACCACAGGCTGTGAATTAGCATATAGAGCTCATTATGTAGGGTTCCTCAGCATCAGTAGTCCCACAGTGCATCCCACCCTTTCTCAGACCACAGAGCATGCTCCCTTCTTATTTTAGCCTTATTTCATGTATGTCCCATTTGAGATTACTCTGTCTACAGTCCCAGTACATCCCAATGAAGACATGGGAGAGTGAATGGATCCTGGGGGAAGGGGCTATGGAGATTCATTCAGTGATTCCTCCACCAGAGAGCTATAAGACAGGAGCCACTCTACAGTTACAGTGGGGAAAAAAGTATTTAGTCAGCCACCAATTGTGCAAGTTCTCCCACTTAAAAAGATGAGAGAGGCCTGTAATTTTCATCATAGGTACACGTCAACTATGACAGACAAAATTAGATTATTTTTTTCCAGAAAATCACATTGTAGGATTTTTAATGAATTTATTTGCAAATTATGGTGGAAAATAAGTATTTGGTCAATAACAAAAGTTTCTCAATACTTTGTTATATACCCTTTGTTGGCAATGACACAGGTCAAACGTTTTCTGTAAGTCTTCACAAGGTTTTCACACACTGTTGCTGATATTTTGGCCCATTCCTCCATGCAGATCTCCTCTAGAGCAGTGATGTTTTGGGGCTGTCGCTGGGCAACACGGACTTTCAACTCCCTCCAAAGATTTTCTATGGGGTTGAGATCTGGAGACTGGCTAGGCCACTCCAGGACCTTGAAATGCTTCTTACGAAGCCACTCCTTCGTTGCCCGGGCGGTGTGTTTGGGATCATTGTCATGCTGAAAGACCCAGCCACGTTTCATCTTCAATGCTCTTGCTGATGGAAGGAGGTTTTCACTCAAAATCTCACGATACATGGCCCCATTCATTCTTTCCTTTACACGGATCAGTCGTCCTGGTCCCTTTGCAGAAAAACAGCCCCAAAGCATGATGTTTCCACCCCCATGCTTCACAGTAGGTATGGTGTTCTTTGGATGCAACTCAGCATTCTTTGTCCTCCAAACACGACGAGTTGAGTTTTTACCAAAAAGTTCTATTTTGGTTTCATCTGACCATATGACATTCTCCCAATCCTCTTCTGGATCATCCAAATGCACTCTAGCAAACTTCAGATGGGCCTGGACATGTACTGGCTTAAGCAGGGGGACACGTCTGGCACTGCAGGATTTGAGTCCCTGGCGGCGTAGTGTGTTACTGATGGTAGGCTTTGTTACTTTGGTCCCAGCTCTCTGCAGGTCATTCACTAGGTCCCCCCGTGTGGTTCTGGGATTTTTGCTCACCGTTCTTGTGATCATTTTGACCCCATGGGATGAGATCTTGCGTGGAGCCCCAGATCGAGGGAGATTATCAGTGGTCTTGTATGTCTTCCATTTCCTAATAATTGCTCCCACAGTTGATTTCTTCAAACCAAGCTGCTTACCTATTGCAGATTCAGTCTTCCCAGCCTGGTGCAGGTCTACAATTTTGTTTCTGGTGTCCTTTGACAGCTCTTTGGTCTTGGCCATAGTGGAGTTTGGAGTGTGACTGTTTGAGGTTGTGGACAGGTGTCTTTTATACTGATAACAAGTCCAAACAGCTGCCATTAATACAGGTAACGAGTGGAGGACAGAGGAGCCTCTTAAAGAAGAAGTTACAGGTCTGTGAGAGCCAGAAATCTTGCTAGTTTGTAGGTGACCAAATACTTATTTTCCACCATAATTTGCAAATAAATTCATTAAAAATCCTACAATGTGATTTTCTGGATTTTGTTTTCTCAATTTGTCTGTCATAGTTGACGTGTACCTATGATGAAAATTACAGGCCTCTCTCATCTTTTTAAGTGTGAGAACTTGCACAATTGGTGGCTGACTAAATACGTTTTTCCCCCACTGTATAATGCCTGAGTGAGTCTTGCACAGTATGTACATGTTGACAAGTGGGCTGGATGTTTGTATTCACAGAAACACATCAAGACATCAGTGAATATGAAAAATGTCACAGTCATACAGTGCTGGGTGCATGTGTATTTGTCTGACACAGCTCCCTCTTATTAGGCTCTCGGAAACACCAACTGCTTAATAAATTAATGAACAAATCATTACATTAAATGCATGTCAGTGCACAATCCATGAATTAATTAATTGCATCTGATAAATTAGATTTTTAATTAAATCATATTACAACTTTTTTCTCTTTTTTATTTTTATATATCAACCCTGTACTGAATGATTGATTGTAAGACAATGACAGGCACTTCTGGCCTGCTTTTGAGCCCAGCTCTACACTGATGCTGCAGTATAATGTCTCCAGTATGCTACAGGGACACAGGTGCTTGTCTATCCATCACTTAAATCGGCTCCTGTCCTCTCCACACTGTTGGTTTGTATGTATTTATTCATGGAAAACATATCAAGAAATCAGTAAGTATGAAAAATGACACATGTACTGGGACAGTGCGTTTTGATTTCTTACATATCAAAATGTCTGAGAATGTCTATATAGTTCTCTCTCTGGGTTGAAGATGTCTCCAACTTGAAAACACATCTGTCAATAAATTAATGTTCACATACATAGTCATTCAGTTTTATATATTACATTTCAGATAACTAGATCATGATAAAGACACATGGGAATGTATTACTATCATGTGTTTATACAACGACCAGACATGGAATCATAAATTGTTATACTGTGATTTAGGCACTTCTGGGAGAAATAGTAGTAGGCTGCAGGTACTTCAAGAACAATATGCTTTTGGTCCATTTAAAGAATGAGGTCACACCAGAACTCAAGTAATTTTTGGCATTAGGGGACAGATAGGGGTTAGGGTTATCTATAGGTAGGACTGTCCTTGGTCAGGTAGGAGCTGTGGTGAAGGCTGGTCTTGACCCGTTTCTCTCGTTGCCGACGGTTACAGAACCAGACCCGGACCACCTCCTTCTCCAGGTGTAGCCCCTCGGCCATACGGACGATCTCCTGAGATGAGGGCTTGATCTTCTCCCCGAAACTACGCTCCAATGCGTCCTTAGCCCCCAGACTACAGGAGGAGAGGGATGCAGTGTATAAAGAGGGAGAAAGTATTTGATCAAACATATTTCAAGTATCTCTGTAATTGTAATGTGTTTTATGTATTTTTTAAAAACATTTTTAGTCATTTAGCAGACGCTCTTATCTAGAGCGACTTACAGTTAGTGAGTGCATACATTGATGCAGAAGAGAAAATTGCGAGGGTAGTTACCTGATAGTGGTTCTTCGTTTCCTCTTACGCTCATTCATGCCCATTTTCTCATTAAACAGAGCTGTGGAAAGAACAACATTAAGGCCACATCATTAGTCATTCATGGCTGTCCCTCTCTCCCAGGGTAAGATCATGGTTGTCCACTCACCCCCGGCCTGCTCTGCTTCATCCAGCCACTTGGCCAGGATGGCCTTTAGCGTGCAGGCATTCTTGAAGCTTAGCTGCAGGTTCTCAAAGCGACAGATGGTTGTCTGGCTGAACTCTGAGCCATGCACCGCAGCCAGAGCCTCTCCAACGTTAGTTTGGGTGTACCCTTTCAAACAGACACACACACACACACACACACACACACACACACACACACACACACACAGTCAGCCATTACATTATGGTGAGCATGTGTAACTGTTTTAAACAGGTCAGGACAGACAGACAGTAGCTATCTAACTCACCCAGTTTGATCCTGCGGAGTTTGAAGTCGTTTGCAAACTTCTCCAGCTCTCGTATCTGAGGTGAGTCCATGTCGGGGGGGTCGTCTGGGGGCCGGCTCCTATGGCGGAGGTCCTTGGTGCCCCCCAGGGGCGGCTCCTCAGACAGCACGGCTGGGGGCAGGGGGGGGAAACTGTGGCTCAGAGAGCACGACTCCCCACCCAAACCATGCTCTGGAAACTTATACAGACAAGGGGCCAATGAACCTAAATAGATAGAGAAACATCAACTGTGACACCAGCTAAATCCACTAGAGGGGAGTCTAGCTTTTTTAATGGTGTGCTGTGTGTGTGTGCATATGTGTGTGTGTACCTTGCAGTGTGTTTGCTCCGTTGACCATGTTTGGGTGCGGGACGCTGCAGGTCTGGAGGATTCTGGTCTGAGATATACTGGCAGACAGCATCTCCTGAGCTAGGGAGGAAACCATCATCATCATCAGCAGCATCGTCATCATCATCATCATCATCATCACCATCATCATCACTGACCTGCCATCATGCCATAAGTGGTCTGTTGGTTGCTGTAATGACAGGGTGTGACGGGGTAGTGCAGGCCGGGGGGACCGTTGCTAAGGGCGTTGCCGAGGGTGGAGGTGGAGAGGTGCATGTGGGAACGCTTGGATGACTGGAGGAGAGACAGACCTGATGGAACTGGAGAGAGGTAGAGGGGAGGGAGAGAGACCTTAGATCAGTTTAGACAAGGCTTTTTGCTGTACCCATGTCATTGTCCATGGGTGCACCTGTTTGTGAAAGAAACTGCATTGAGTGATAGCAATAGAATGGTGGTTGATTTACATTCTTTGTTGTAGAAGCTGTAGTGTTGAATTAGTTATAGTGTGGGTTCCTTTCCAATGACGATGGACAGAACATTTGATCTCAGTCAGCAGGTGTCGTGTTCTTCTGTGAAGTCTTTTCTCATGGTGAATGTGGACTGTTAATTTAGCTCTCAAACTGGACAGGCTAATAACACTCCTACTGTCCTCCATACCACAGTAATAATAATCTACAGACACACCAGGGAGAAACTGTGAATCTTATAAGAAACTGTGCAGACATTACTGTTCAGATGCATCTTCAGCTGTAGAGTAAGACGTGTTTGTGTACGTGTAGGCGTGTAATAATAATAATAATAATTTGGTGGGTGCTATTTCATGTGTTTTTTACATATCCCAACTCTCCCTGAGACCCCCTTCGGAGAGTCAAGTCACAGCCAGGGTCTGCCAACGGCGACCCTGGAGCAGTTTGGGTTAAGTGCCTTGCTCAAGGACTCATCGACCGATTTTTCACCTTGTCTGCTCAGGGATTCAAACTAGAAACCTTTCAGTTACTTGCCCAACGCTCTAAACGCTAGGCTACCTGCTACCTGTGCGTGTGTGTGCGCATTCGCATGCCAGTGTGGGGGTGTGAGTTAATACATTTCTGTCAGTCTGCAGCCCGGATGGCAAAGTGGGGGTCACACAAACCGCGTCAGTGATGACACCCCACCTACGCTCTCTACACACACACACACAACTCTATCCTCCTCTGTGGAATCTCTCCAAGGCCAAGAGCTGGATATATTCTATCTACAAACATCTAAGAGAGATCTTCACGGTTCTACAGGGTTCAGCTATAATAACACTGCTAATATCCACCCACACACACACAGCAAAAAGACAGCCTTCAACACAGTTACACCACAGAGAACATGACCCAGCACAACTGTTAGAAGACTGGAAATGGTTTAGAGGGATAGAAAGAATGCGTTATCAGAGGGTAAGGCTCAGAGGTTATGGGTTAGGGTGAGAGGTTACCTGTGGACACCATGTTGTGTGTGTGTGTGGAGGCGGAGGAGGGCAGGCAGTCGGCAGCGGAGGCGTGGTGCATGAGGAGGGGCAGGGAGTCGCCTGCCAGGGTGGTGAAGGAGTCCGCGCTGAACGCCTGGCACGACATCACGATGATCTTACGACCTCCTTCTCACTTGGACAGGATCAGGTAGATTGACCTGCTCTGCTCTTCTCTGCTCTCCTCTCCTCTTAGCTGTTCTCAGGTAGACACTCAGGTGCTGACTTCTTGTAGTTTCTGCCCTGGACAGGTAAAAGCTGCTGTGTTTGGCTGGTCCCCGTCTCCTTCTAGCAACACAGGTCTACGCAGGTCTGCTTCCCATGTGTCTGTCACCTGGCCAGTATCTGCTCTGTGTTCCTCCCTGGCCTCCCTGTGAGCCCACCTGAGTGACGCCCCACCTGTCTACTGCAGGTATTTATACCCTGCCCTTCTCTGCCCCCCCACCACCGCCACCTCATCCATGTTAATGCCCCCCACCCAACCCCCCCATAGCTCTGGTTGTATCTGACCCTCTGCCTCCAGCCGTCCAGCCAGTACAGGGAAAAGCCTGGATTAGTAGCAGAGAGAAATGGGTAACTTAATCTTCTCTCTACCTGGGTCTCTTTGGGTCCCGCCCTCTCTCTCTCAATCGCTTTATTTCTCTCTCTCTGGGTCTCTGTCTCTATTTCCATACAATCTGATGATACGGATAGATATTCTGAGCACCAGACTCTATAGGGAACAGATATTCCCATCTGATACCGTTTCAAACTCTATGTTTATGAGAAGAAACTGTGCTAGGGTTACATTAGTAAAGACAGAATAGTCATGAGTGCTACTGTAAAAAGAAGGTACACTACATATCAATAGTATCAAATATTCATATCTATACGTTTTAAAAACGAGCTGTTCCATACATTTATACTTTCTTTCTGAGCTTTCTAGCAATGTCCCTCCCTGCAGAACTGAATACTAGATTTAAAAAACTTATAGCAAAACATTTTAATTAATTTAAGCTTGTTTTATGTGATTGACCTGGGTTGTAGTGAAAGAGGCAGAGTATGTGTTCATAAGTGTGTTTGTACCCTAACCATCTGTCTGGCAGGATTAGGAGGGGAAGTGGAGAGGATGTGCCTGGCATTGTTTTGGCATTGTGTCAATTATGTTGGTATTGGGTGTGTATTTTGTGGCCTCTATGTGTGTTAACTGTGTTTGCATGAAAGACAACAGAAGTCATCATCTCTGATTAGTAGTTCATCTGGAGACGTTTGCCTGCGTGAGTTTCTGTCTGGCCCTGAGTCACACTGCTGGAGAAAAGACTTCAGTCCAGCTGTTGTTTTTGTGATTGTTAAAGTGAGAGTTAAACCAGTGAAGTCACACTGTTGTTTAAGAGACAATAAGCTGTTGTTGTAGGGACAGTAGGTGGGCAGCAGGTGAGCTGATGTCACCACCTACCCAGAAGGTAGAGCATCATGTGGGCACGCTCCAACCTGCCTCGTAACACCACAAGGAGCTTAAAGCAATGCTGCTTTACCTTGACAGATCGAATTGATTTGTAAAGCTTAGAATACAAGCAGTATTCAATAATACAATGCAATTTTAAACTGTCAGAATTGATAAATCATGGTTGATCCCTATGCCTTTGGCAAGGTGCTTAGCTGCGGTTCAACTGTGTTTGTGTGTGTGTGTGTGTGTGTATCCTCAGCAAGGTGTTTAGCTGTCTAAGCATATCCAGAGGAGCAGGCCCTTTAACCACAATGAATAGTCTCAGTAATGTCCCCTATTGTAAAGACTAATGTCTGGACGGAAGGAGCTGGATCCTTGTAGCAGAGAGAGAGAGAGAGAGAGCAAGAGAGAGATTACTGGTATACAGGAGAGAGGAAAGGCAGGGTAAAGAGATGGGTTAGGGAGGGTAGAGAGAGGGGTTAGGGAGGGTAGAGAGAGGGGTTAGGAGGGTAGAGAGAGGGGTTAGGGAGGGTAGAGAGAGAGGGGTTAGGGCGGGTAGCGCGAGGGTTCGGAGGGTTGGAGGGAGCGGGGTGTTAGTCGGCTCCTAGAGAGGGGGTATTGAGTGGTACAGAGGGTTCTGGGAGGTTGCGCGGGTTAGGGAGGGTAGAGAGAGGGGTTAGGGAGGGTAGAGAGAGGGGTTAGGGAGGGTAAGCGCGGGTTCGGGCGGTTCGCGCGGTTCTTTCGGGTCCGCGACGGGTTGCGGCGGTAGAGATTGGGCTGGTCTGCGAGGGTTTAGAGGGTCGTTCGCGCGGGGTCTGGCCGGTGCTCAGCGGGTTCGTCGGGTCGCGCTGACGGGGTTGGGCTGTCACGAGGGGTTAGGGAGGGTAGAGAGAGGGGTTGGGGAGCTGTGAAGAGGAGCCTTTCCCATGGTGGAGGAACAAAGACCCTCAACCTAATTAGTGATTGAACCATGAGCCGGCAGGGACCTGTCCCCAGCACCTGCCCTGCTCCGACCCCTCACAGACACACACAGCCTGATCTACCAGAGCAGTGGGAACAGGACACATACACGTCTTCTCACAGGTATCACATCATATACACACATGCACCCGTACAGTACTGAGGCCAGGTGATCTGTGGGTAGGTGTGTGTGTTGGTAGCTTTCATTACAATTCACAATGAAATAACATATAATCATTTGCAATGGCATTATAATCTCATCATACAGTACAGTTATATAACATAGTGTAAAGCACTTGAAGCGTACATAGTTTACATAAAAGTTGTACTTTCTTTACACAAGCAAAGCTACATTATATTGAACTGGGACATTAATGTCACCTGAAACTGAAGTGGTTTTCCCTACGAGGCCAAACAGCAGAGTCATGTTTAACTCCTGTTTCCATTATACAAACCTGAACTATAACAGAGCGCCTGGCCAACTGATGAATATAGAGAGCAACCCTATGCTTCCATCGTGCAGCATCTGCCCTGAGCGGCCACTGCCTCTGAGCTCTACTGCATTAACACACAGCACCAGGGCATGAGGCTAATTTCATCAACATATTCATCAAACTAAAGGTTAGCCTGGATACATACAACTCTCTGCTCCATTTATCTGCTCTCATTTAGTAAATGTCACAGCCAAATGTTTTCCGGCCAAATGAGATCGTCTCTTTTTGTTTGTTTGTTTGTCTCCTACGGCACAGATTACAGGAAGTGCATTGGGGGTGATTCCTCGGTCAGTTTACATGGCATTTTACTGGTTTCATATCTGTTTGGTTTGTCCTTCTGTCACTATGGAAAGACTTGGAAAACAAGAGGAAAAAGGTCGAATTTAGTGAAACATAGTAGAGTGCAGTTGAGCCACATCAAGAAAGTAACGTTTCTGGATAATTATCAATATGAGAATGTCATCTTAGCCTTTTTTTTTTAATGTGCATCCTGCTACAGTTAGCGCATACTGTAGTTAAACAAACAAGAAGTTCAATGCTCTATTAGTTACTGAGCACATGAAATTCTCTTACCACAGAAACCTTGTGAGCAATAGAAATAAGCAAGGAGACTAATAAGTCATAGCCTGCTTTTAAAGCAAAGTTCCCCTGGAGAAATGTAGAAAGTTATCAGAATATGACCTACCAGTCCATCAGGGCATATCTCTCTGGTCAGTCTGGTTTCTTTTATCTCTCTCTTTCTTTTTCTCATTCCTTTGACCACCCAGACACTGCACCTCATCAGTCTGAACACGCTCTCTGCTCCCTCTGAAATACGCCTCTGGTAGTATATATATATATCTGACTGGTAATATATATTTATCGGACTGGTAAATATATTTATCGGACTCAATGCTGAATGTTTAAAGATACTTTTATTTTACTATCAATATACACCACGAACACACCCGAGCCCCCCCTCTCTCCCTCCATAGTTATAGCTGTCTGGGTACTATATTTTACTGAAAGGCTTTCTCTCTGTCTACATACACAGATACAGCTAACAATGTTATCATGATAATGCCAAGAGTGCAGTGTAGGGTCATATATTTATAGACATTAAAGTAAACATGCACAGAAACTATTTCATCACCAGTTCTCTCTACATCGTTTCAGACTGATTGCTTTCAGCTACCTTTATACCGTCAAAAGAAAATTTAATCACCTGGGAACTGAAACAGTGCCTTTCATTTATAGTCATGGCTACGAGAGAGAGAGAGAGCGCAGAGAAGGCTAGAGAGAGAGAGCGCTAGAGAAGGCTAGAGAGAGAGAAGGCTAGAGAGAGAGAGCGCTAGAGAAGGCTAGAGAGAGAGAGAGAAGGCTAGAGAGAGAGAGAGCACTAGAGAAGGCTAGAGAGAGAGAGAAGGCTAGAGAGAGAGAGCACTAGAGAAGGCTAGAGAGAGAGAGAAGGTTAGAGAGAGAGAGAGCGCTAGAGAAGGCTAGAGAGAGAGAGAGAAGGCTAGAGAGAGAGAGAGAAGGCTAAAGAGAGAGAGACTCTAGAGATGGTTTGTATATACTTTATAAGAGCTTTCCAGATATGCAACTGAAACATACCATGGTGTAGTAGATTGTAGCTAAGCAACAGGCGCTCTAGGGAAACTGTGTCCACATGGTGGGTTGGCTGAATGAGCTCCATACTACCCACAATACACTTGGGGTTTCTGTATGTAGTTATTACAGCAATATGATAGATGGATGGGCAGGTCAAATGTTTTGAAAGGGAACTACAACACCATTCAGAGTGCTTGATATAACCATAGGGGATTCAAGAGCAATGTCCCTACCTGACCACCAGGGGGACACGAGCGAGCGAGAGCGAGACTGTCCTTGCTGCATGTATAGTATGACAACCATGACTAAACAGCCTGATTAGGGAGCTGTCGTTGATCAGTGCCATGCAGGGTATGCAGGGTTTTTAATATGCCGAGGCAGATAAAAGATGACATGGGCAGCACTAATGACTGGGGACGGCTGTTTGATTTAGACCAGGGACTGGGGATGGGAGAACTGGCTATTTATACTGGTCAGGCTAGGGATGATGATGATTAGGGACAGGGCTGTGGTGGGCACTTTCTAATGGTCCAGGATTGATACTGTAGAGCTGTGCTGGGCTCATTCAGACAGAGAACAGGAGATACAGACCAAACAGACCACTGCTCTTTGTCGCTGATAAAAGACCCACGTCGCTAA